AGTTAGTGACTGTACCAACAACCTGGAGATGTATGGTATATAGTTAGTGACTGTGCCAAATACCTGGAGATGTAAAGTATATAGTTAGTGACTGTACCAACAACCTGGAGATGTATGGTATATAGTTAGTGACTGTGCCAACAACCTGGAGATGTATAGTATATAGTTAGTGACTGTACCAGCAACCTGGAGATGTACTTGGTATATAGTTAGTGACTGTACCAACAACCTGGGGATGTATAGTATATAGTTAGTGACTGTACCAACAACCTGGAGATGTATGGTATATAGTTAGTGACTGTACCAACAACCTGGAGATGTATGGTATATAGTTAGTGATTGTACCAACAACCTGGAGATGTATGGTATATAGTTAGTGACTGTACCAACAACCTGGGGATGTATAGTATATAGTTAGTGACTGTACCAACAACCTGGAGATGTATAGTATATAGTTAGTGATTGTACCAACAACCTGGAGATGTATAGTATATAGTTAGTGATTGTACCAACAACCTGGAGATGTATAGTATATAGTTAGTGATTGTACCAACAACCTGGAGATGTATAGTATATAGTTAGTGACTGTACCCAACAACCTGAGGATGTAAAGTATATAGTTAGTGACTGTACCAGCAACCTGGAGATGTATAGTATATAGTTAGTGACTGTGCCAACAACCTGGGGATGTATAGTATATAGTTAGTGACTGTACCAGCAACCTGGAGATGTATAGTATATAGTTAGTGACTGTACCAACAACCTGGAGATGTATAGTATATAGTTAGTGACTGTACCAACAACCTGGAGATGTATAGTATATAGTTAGTGACTGTACCAAATACCTGGAGATGTATAGTATATAGTTAGTGACTGTACCAACAACCTGGAGATGTATGGTATATAGTTAGTGACTGTACCAACAACCTGGAGATGTATGGTATATAGTTAGTGACTGTACCAACAACCTGGAGATGTATAGTATATAGTTAGTGACTGTTACCAACAACCTGAGGAAGATGTATAGTATATAGTTAGTGACTGTACCAACAACCTGGAGATGTATAGTATATAGTTAGTGATTGTACCAACAACCTGGAGATGTATAGTATATAGTTAGTGACTGTACCAACAACCTGGAGATGTATAGTATATAGTAAGTGACTGTACCAGCAACCTGGGGATGTATAGTATATAGTTAGTAACTGTGCCAACAACCTGGAGATGTATAGTACATAGTTAGTGATTGTACCAGCAACCTGGGGATGTATAGTATATAGTTAGTGACTGTGCCAACAACCTGGAGATGTATAGTATATAGTAAGTGACTGTACCAACAACCTGAGGATGTATAGTATATAGTTAGTGATTGTACCAAATACCTGGAGATGTAAAGTATATAGTTAGTGACTGTACCAACAACCTGGAGATGTATGGTATATAGTTAGTGACTGTGCCAAATACCTGGAGATGTAAAGTATATAGTTAGTGACTGTACCAACAACCTGGAGATGTATGGTATATAGTTAGTGACTGTGCCAAATACCTGGAGATGTAAAGTATATAGTTAGTGACTGTACCAGCAACCTGGAGATGTATGGTATATAGTTAGTGACTGTACCAACAACCTGGGGATGTATAGTATATAGTTAGTGACTGTACCAGCAACCTGGAGATGTATAGTATATAGTTAGTGATTGTACCAACAACCTGGAGATGTATGGTATATAGTTAGTGATTGTACCAGCAACCTGGAGATGTATAGTATATAGTTAGTGACTGTACCAACAACCTGGAGATGTATAGTATATAGTTAGTGACTGTACCAACAACCTGGGATGTATAGTATATAGTTAGTGACTGTACCAACAACCTGGAGATGTATGGTATATAGTTAGTGACTGTGCCAACAACCTGGAGATGTATAGTATATAGTTAGTGACTGTACCAACAACCTGGAGATGTATAGTATATAGTTAGTGACTGTACCAACAACCTGGAGATGTATAGTATATAGTTAGTGACTGTGCCAACAACCTGGAGATGTATAGTATATAGTTAGTGACTGTACCAACAACCTGGAGATGTATAGTATATAGTTAGTGATTGTACCAACAACCTGGAGATGTATAGTATATAGTTAGTGACTGTACCAACAACCTGGAGATGTATGGTATATAGTTAGTGACTGTACCAACAACCTGGAGATGTATAGTATATAGTTAGTGACTGTACCAGCAACCTGGAGATGTATAGTATATAGTTAGTGACTGTACCAACAACCTGGAGATGTATAGTATATAGTTAGTGACTGTACCAACAACCTGGAGATGTATAGTATATAGTTAGTGACTGTACCAACAACCTGGAGATGTATAGTATATAGTTAGTGACTGTACCAACAACCTGGAGATGTATGTATATAGTTAGTGACTGTGCCAACAACCTGGAGATGTATGGTATATAGTTAGTGACTGTAACCAACAACCTGGAGATGTATAGTATATAGTTAGTGATACCAACAACCTGGTGTATAGTATATAGTTAGTGACTGTACCAACAACCTGGAGATGTATAGTATATAGTTAGTGACTGTACCAACAACCTGGAGATGTATAGTATATAGTTAGTGACTGTACCAACAACCTGGAGATGTATAGTATATAGTTAGTGACTGTACCAACAACCTGGGGATGTATAGTATATAGTTAGTGACTGTACCAACAACCTGGAGATGTATAGTATATAGTTAGTGACTGTACCAACAACCTGGAGATGTATAGTATATAGTTAGTGATTGTACCAACAACCTGGAGATGTATAGTATATAGTTAGTGATTGTACCAACAACCTGGAGATGTATAGTATATAGTTAGTGACTGTACCAACAACCTGGAGGATGTAAAGTATATAGTTAGTGACTGTACCAGCAACCTGGAGATGTATAGTATATAGTTAGTGACTGTGCCAACAACCTGGGGATGTATAGTATATAGTTAGTGACTGTACCAGCAACCTGGAGATGTATAGTATATAGTTAGTGATTGTACCAACAACCTGGAGATGTATAGTATATAGTTAGTGACTGTACCAACAACCTGGAGATGTATAGTATATAGTTAGTGACTGTACCAAAACCTGGAGATGTAAAGTATATAGTTAGTGACTGTACCAACAACCTGGAGATGTATAGGTATATAGTTAGTGACTGTGCCAACAACCTGGAGATGTATAGTATATAGTTAGTGACTGTACCAACAACCTGGAGATGTATAGTATATAGTTAGTGACTGTACCAACAACCTGGAGATGTATAGTATATAGTTAGTGACTGTACCAACAACCTGGAGATGTATAGTATATAGTTAGTGACTGTACCAACAACCTGGAGATGTATAGTATATAGTTAGTGATTGTACCAACAACCTGGGGATGTATAGTATATAGTTAGTGACTGTGCCAACAACCTGGAGATGTATAGTATATAGTAAGTGACTGTACCAGCAACCTGGGGATGTATAGTATATAGTTAGTGACTGTGCCAACAACCTGGAGATGTATAGTACATAGTTAGTGATTGTACCAACAACCTGGGGATGTATAGTATATAGTTAGTGACTGTGCCAACAACCTGGAGATGTATAGTATATAGTAAGTGACTGTACCAACAACCTGAGGATGTATAGTATATAGTTAGTGATTGTACCAAATACCTGGAGATGTAAAGTATATAGTTAGTGACTGTACCAACAACCTGGAGATGTATGGTATATAGTTAGTGACTGTGCCAAATACCTGGAGATGTAAAGTATATAGTTAGTGACTGTACCAACAACCTGGAGATGTATGGTATATATAGTTAGTGACTGTGCCAAATAACCTGGAGATGTATAGTATATAGTTAGTGACTGTACCAACAACCTGGAGATGTATGGTATATAGTTAGTGACTGTACCAACAACCTGGGGATGTATAGTATATAGTTAGTGATTGTACCAACAACCTGGAGAGATGTATGGTATATAGTTAGTGACTGTACCAACAACCTGGAGATGTATGGTATATAGTTAGTGATTGTACCAACAACCTGGAGATGTATGGTATATAGTTAGTGACTGTACCAACAACCTGGGGATGTATAGTATATAGTTAGTGACTGTACCAGCAACCTGGAGATGTATAGTATATAGTTAGTGATTGTACCAACAACCTGGAGATGTATAGTATATAGTTAGTGATTGTACCAGCAACCTGGAGATGTATAGTATATAGTTAGTGATTGTACCAACAACCTGGAGATGTATAGTATATAGTTAGTGACTGTACCAACAACCTGAGGATGTATAGTATATAGTTAGTGACTGTACCAGCAACCTGGAGATGTATAGTATATAGTTAGTGATTGTACCAACAACCTGGGGATGTATAGTATATAGTTAGTGACTGTACCAACAACCTGGAGATGTATAGTATATAGTTAGTGACTGTACCAACAACCTGGGGATGTATAGTATATAGTTAGTGACTGTACCAACAACCTGGAGATGTATGGTATATAGTTAGTGATTGTACCAGCAACCTGGAGATGTATAGTATATAGTTAGTGATTGTACCAACAACCTGGAGATGTATGGTATATAGTTAGTGACTGTGCCAACAACCTGGAGATGTATAGTATATAGTTAGTGATTGTACCAGCAACCTGGAGATGTATAGTATATAGTTAGTGAAGATGTATAGTATATAGTTAGTGATTGTACCAGCAACCTGGAGATGTATAGTATATAGTTAGTGATTGTACCAACAACCTGGAGATGTATAGTATATAGTTAGTGACTGTACCAACAACCTGGAGATGTATAGTATATAGTTAGTGATTGTACCAACAACCTGGAGATGTATGGTATATAGTTAATCACGGTTTTATTTTTTGTTTTGATTAGAAAGCTTTAAAGAACTATCAAAGAAAAACCCCAAGTACGATGAAGGTTAATACTTACCCCAACGGTTCCGAACGTCTGCTTGAGAGGAAGAAAGTTTCCATCATTCTTCAGGAGGACAAATGTTCTTGTTGCAGCCCACACGGCGAGGTCTCTGTGCGCCTTGGTCTCCACATACGAGAGGTCATATGTAGAATAGGGGTTCATGGAAGGAGGGTCAAACTCTCCAAGTCTCATCCTGGTGTAGAACAGTTTCTTTACTCTTTCCCTCACTAGCTCTTCTGTCAGCTTTCCCTGCTTAATGGCATCCACTGAAAATAAGCACTTCCCTCTCTGGAGAACAAACACTTCCCTGTCTGGACAACAAGCACACTCCTGTCTGGACAACAAGCACTTTTAAGTTTGGACAACAAACACTTTCCTGTCTGAACAACAAGCCATTCCTGTCTGGAGAAGAAAACACACTTTCAAGTGTTGACAACAAGCATTTTTCAATCTGGACAAGAAACACACTGCTGTCTAGACAAGCACTTTCCAGTATTGAGAAAAAAACACTTTCAAGTGTGGACAAAAGCGTGTATCAAGTCTGGAGAACAAGCACTTTCCAGCCTGGACAACAAACCCTTTTCCAGTTTGGACAACACGCACTTTCCTCACTGTACAACCTAACTCTTTCCAGTCTGGACAATAGGCACTTTCCAGTCTGGACAACAAGCATTTTCCAGTCTTGACAGCAAGCACTTTCCAGTCTGGATAACAAACACTTTCCTGTCGGGACAACAAACACACTACTTTCTGGACAACAAGCATTGTGCTTTCTGGACAACATGCACTCATCTCCCTGAGAGGAAAACAAGAACTCCTCTCCTCTCTGCTGTCTGTACTTCATGCACTCCACAATCAAGACAATTGTTGCATATAGGGGTGTGTAAGTGTTGGGGGGTAGGGTGGGGTGATTTGTGTTTGAACAATAAAGTCGGACAATACATAGAAACCTTATGTATACTTGTTGGTAGATCTAAAACCACAAACACCTCTCCATTTAGTCCGAGTTAGACTTTCAGTGTGAGCAGACATGTGAAGAAAAACTACCATCTTGTGACGACTGTGGACTCATGTTTTAAGACGTGCATGATTTGCATCAACACAGAAGAAACTGGTGTCCCGAAAAGTCTAAAGTGGGTCAACCTGGGATATCCCAAGTGGGCTTCAAGAGGAAGTGAGAGGAAGACGACGACAACTTCTTTTCTGTGAAGACACCACGTCCTTTGCCAGATTGCGATTATTGTGGACAAGTGTTCAGCAATAACCACAACTTACAAAGACATTTACACGATAAACAATGTCCTGAAATGGAAAATGATGATAATGATGATTTTGATGAATCGTTAAGTGATGTCACACAAACTAACAGGAAAAATAAGATGGCTGATCTCGAAGAGCAAGGTATAAGACAAATGTATTCACTTACGCATGAGCTTAATAAAGACTTTTTGGATGAGAAACGACAGCTGTACATGAAAAGAGGTTTAAATGAAGACATGATAGAATCCAAAATGAAGACATTAATCTGGATCACTTTTAAAGAGACATATGCACGATTTATTACTTATCTGTATCATGACATGTTTTCAAAACTGTACAAATCTAAATCTTGGGTGGAAGACTTGATTGAGTGATACAAAGGACAGGGCAATGAGGAGGGGCAATGAGACAATTCACGAAAGATGTTAAGTATATTTTAGGAGTGTTCCTATCCTAATGTCTGCTGATAGAAACGGAGCTAATAAACAACAAAATGTGCATATCTCTCTTGTTTCTTGATGTATATCCGTTTGCTGACTGACAGTAGACAACTGTACAATTCTTTATTCTATTGCTGATAAACAACACTATTTCACTGAATCCAGTGAATACCTTGATACGCCCAATTCAAGGGGGGTCTCCACCTGTTTATACAGAACATACTATTATCAGTCACGTGACACCAGTATGAAATAAAAGAAGAGTTGATCACGTAATTTGACATTTGTCACTGTATAGCTACTTGTACAACCACTTGACTCTTCACCCTACTTGAGATATTCAGTGACCACCAGTCCTCAACTGCTTACTACTTCCCGTATCTGGTCAGACACTTAATGACGGAAGCTGACCCCGGAGTATACATTCATTCTAGGCTGCGCCCCATTCACGTTAAAAATTATCCAGGCTATCAACAGCCATTCCATGTACACATGGGTACAGTCTGGCCTTTAAACTACAATAAAACACGATTTCTTGACAGCACTAAATACTTAAAATTGTGGTCAGTTTTAATGACTGGATGGAGGTGCTTTAAAAAAACATAAATATCTTACACTATTTCATCCAATCACAGCTGTCACATGTCTCTGCTCTGTCTCTTCAGTTAAGGCCCGGCTCAGTGAGTAAGCGATTCTGCATTAGTGTAGTGGAACCTGTATATAGGCTGCGCCACACTCACGCACTAAATTAACGTTTGGCGCATGAATTTTATTTGCTAGCAGCTACAATCGTTTATTGTTCACATATATGGAAAATAAATACTCAGAACTTCTGAGTTGTTCCTTGTACCAAATAGCGAGTGGTTAAGAATGAAATCTGATGACAGCATAATCTATTTTAAAATGCCTAGTGATACCTCGCCCTTTGATTAACCAAAAATGCGCTCTGATATTTCGAACAAGACTGGCTTTTGACCTAATAAATAGCATCTAAATTCACCTAATATTCATAGTGTAATATTAGTTCTACAAAATTCACTAAAAGATTTTGCTGTGTGAACACTCAAGTCAGCAAATCACACTCATACCACTCATAAAATAATTGAATAATAATCACAGACCACTAAGGTCAACCTGAAGGTGACACACACCTGGGCAGGAAGGGAACTCTTCCCAAAGGGGGTGGGGCTTAAGGGTTCAAAACTCACTGTCCAAATCGATTAGGTCATAAAAAGGTCACACACTGGTGTGATGACGTCATAAAAGCAAAATGGCGGATTTGAGCTTCAACCGCCCTGTCGACAGCATACAAGCCACTGTCTGCCTTACAAGCACTTCACAATCAGTAAAAAAACTGTCTGTACATATGACCCGACAAAGATGAACTCTACTGTCCGAACACAGTCTGGATAACGAAGAATTTACTTTCAGGACAAACAAAAACATTCCACTGTCTGGTCAATAGCGATGTTTTAGAGATGTAGTTAGTCCTAAATGAATGAGTTGTGTTTTAGAGAAGTACTTAAACTACATGAAAAGGTTGTGTTTTAGAGACGTAGTTACACTAACATGGGTGGGTTGTGTTTTAGAGAAGCAGTTACACTAACATTACACTAACATGGGTGGGTTGTGTTTATTACACTAACATGGGTAGGTTGTGTTTTAGAGATGTAGTTACTCACTCATGGACAGATACACTGCGTCGGCTCTGCTGGTGAGTTCGAGGTTACATCCAGCATTGACGCAGGCTGCCACAGTGTCTACAGTGTTGTTGAAGTAGTGGTGGGAGCCGATGATGTTTTCTATTGCCCCTTGATCGCTCACGACGTAGCCCTGGAAACCCCATTCTCCTCTAAGGATGTCCGTCAACAGCCGTTTGTTGGCGCAAGCAGGTACACCATTAATGCTTGAATTACGACCAGAGGAACGATGAGTAATATTAGCAGACGACAATGAATAGTAGAAACAGAGGAACAGACGGGACCGAGGCACAGAAGGGACAGTGGTGACAGATTAACAGAAGTAACAGGTGAACAGAAAGGACAGAGGAACAGACGGGACAGGGGAACAGAAGGGACAGAGTGGACATATGAAAAGAAGAAATAGATGGGACAGGAACAGAAGGGAAAGAGGGGAGAGAGGAAGAGAAAAGGAGAGCTGACAGAGGAACAGAAGAGGCAGGGGTAACAGAGGTAGAGAAAAGACAGAGGTGACAGGGGAACAGAAGAGACAGGGGTAACAGAGGAAGAGAAAAGACAGAGGTGACAGAGGAACAGAAGAGACAGGGGTAACAGAGGAAGAGAAAAGACAGAGGTGACAGAGGAACAGAAGAGACAGGGGTAACAGAGGAAGAGAAAAGACAGAGGTGACAGAGGAACAGAAGAGACAGGGGTAACAGAGGAAGAGAAAAGACAGAGGTGACAGAGGAACAGAAGAGACAGGGGTAACAGAGGAAGAGAAAAGACAGAGGTGACAGAGGAACAGAAGAGACAGGGGTAACAGAGGAAGAGAAAAGACAGAGGTGACAGAGGAACAGAAGAGACAGGGGTAACAGAGGAAGAGAAAAGACAGAGGTGACAGAGGAACAGAAAAGACAGAGGAGACAGAGGAACAGAAGGATTAGAGGGAACAAAGGAACAGAAAGGACAGAGGAGACAGAGGAACAGAAGGGGCAGAGGGCACAGAGGAATAGAATGGACAGAGGGGACAGAGGAACAGAGGGGACAGAGGGCACAGAGGCACAGAATGGACAGAGGAACAAGAAGGAATAGAGGGACAGAGGGACAAAGGGGACAGAGGAAACAGAAGCTTAACATTTTAATAATAAATGATGAGATGGAAGTGTGGAACATAGTAACAAAAACTTACCTGTCACAACTAGATTGGGTGTTGTATGTTTCTGCTTTGACACATGTTTTGACAACACATACCTGTTATAACTGCACATAATATTGTATGTTCCTGCTTTGACACATGTTCTGACAACACATACCTGTTATAACTGCACATAATATTGTATGTTCCTGCTTTGACACATGTTCTGACAACACATACCTGTTATAACTGCACATAATATTGTATGTTCCTGCTTTGACGCATGTTCTGACAACACATACCTGTTATAACTGCACATAATATTGTATGTTCCTGCTTTGACGCATGTCTTTACAACACTTACCTGTCACAACTAGATTGGGTGTTGTATGTTACTGCTTTGACGCATGTCTTTACAACACTTACCTGTCACAACTAGATTGGGTGTTGTATGTTCCTGCTTTGACGCATGTCTTTACAACACTTACCCGTCACAACTAGATTGGGTGTTGTATGTTTCTGCTTTGACACATGTTTTGACAACACATACCTGTTATAACTGCACATAATATTGTATGTTCCTACTTTGACGCATGTTCTGACAACACATACCTGTTATAACTGCACATAATATTGTATGTTCCTGCTTTGACACATGTTCTGACAACACATACCTGTTATAACTGCACATAATATTGTATGTTCCTGCTTTGACACATGTTCTGACAACACATACCTGTTATAACTGCACATAATATTGTATGTTCCTGCTTTGACACATGTTCTGACAACACATACCTGTTATAACTGCACATAATATTGTATGTTCCTGCTTTGACGCATGTTCTGACAACACATACCTGTTATAACTGCACATAATATTGTATGTTCCTGCTTTGACGCATGTTCTGACAACACATACCTGTTATAACTAGACATAATATTGTATGTTTCTGCTTTGCAGCATGTCTTTACAACACTTACCTGTCACAACTAGATTGGGTGTTGTATGTTCCTGCTTTGACGCATGTCTTTACAACACTTACCCGTCACAACTAGATTGGGTGTTGTATGTTTCTGCTTTGACACATGTTTTGACAACACATACCTGTTATAACTGCACATAATATTGTATGTTCCTGCTTTGACACATGTTTTGACAACACATACCTGTTATAACTGCACATAATATTGTATGTTCCTGCTTTGACACATGTTCTGACAACACATACCTGTTATAACTGCACATAATATTGTATGTTCCTGCTTTGACACATGTTCTGACAACACATACCTGTTATAACTGCACATAATATTGTATGTTCCTGCTTTGATGCATGTTCTGACAACACATACCTGTTATAACTGCACATAATATTGTACGTTCCTGCTTTGACACATGTCTTGACAACACATACCTGTTATAACTGCACATAATATTGTATGTTCCTGCTTTGACGCATGTTCTGACAACACATACCTGTTATAACTGCACATAATATTGTATGTTCCTGCTTTGACACATGTTCTGACAACACATACCTGTTATAACTGCACATAATATTGTATGTTTCTGCTTTGACACATGTTCTGACAACACATACCTGTTATAACTGCACATAATATTGTATGTTCCTGCTTTGACGCATGTTCTGACAACACATACCTGTTATAACTGCACATAATATTGTATGTTCCTGCTTTGACACATGTTCTGACAACACATACCTGTTATAACTGCACATAATATTGTATGTTTCTGCTTTGGCACATGTCTTGACAACACATACCTGTTATAACTGCACATAATATTGTATATTCCTGCATTGACGCATGTTCTCACAACACATACCTGTTATAACTGCACATAATATTGTATGTTCCTGCTTTGACACATGTTCTGACAACACATACCTGTTATAACTGCACATAATATTGTATGTTTCTGCTTTGACACATGTCTTGACAACACATACCTGTTATAACTGCACATAATATTGTATGTTTCTGCATTGACGCATGTTCTGACAACACATACCTGTTATAACTGCACATAATATTGTATGTTCCTGCTTTGACGCATGTTCTGACAACACATACCTGTTATAACTGCACATAATATTGTATGTTCCTGCTTTGACACATGTTCTGACAACACATACCTGTTATAACTGCACATAATATTGTATGTTCCTGCTTTGACGCATGTTCTGACAACACATACCTGTTATAACTGCACATAATATTGTATGTTCCTGCTTTGACGCATGTTCTGACAACACATACCTGTTATAACTGCACATAATATTGTATGTTCCTGCTTTGACGCATGTTCTGACAACACATACCTGTTATAACTGCACATAATATTGTATGTTCCTGCTTTGACGCATGTTCTGACAACACATACCTGTTATAACTGCACATAATATTGTATGTTCCTGCTTTGACGCATGTTCTGACAACACATACCTGTTATAACTGCACATAATATTGTATGTTTCTGTTTGACGCATGTCTTGACAACACATACCTGTTATAACTGCACATAATATTGTATGTTCCTGCTTTGACGCATGTTCTGACAACACATACCTGTTATAACTGCACATAATATTGTATGTTCCTGCTTTGACGCATGTTCTGACAACACATACCTGTTATAACTGCACATAATATTGTATGTTCCTGCTTTGACGCATGTTCTGACAACACATACCTGTTATAACTGCACATAATATTGTATGTTCCTGCTTTGACACATGTTCTGACAACACATACCTGTTATAACTGCACATAATATTGTACGTTCCTGCTTTGACACATGTTCTGACAACACATACCTGTTATAACTGCACATAATATTGTATGTTCCTGCTTTGACGCATGTTCTGAAGGCGGGCAGGAAGGTTGTCCGCCAATCTCTTTCTGTGACCTAAGGAGAGTTAATGGGGCACTCTAGACATGTTTTTGCCTTAAATACCCGACTTCTCACAACCGAAACACCAAGGAAAACAGAAAATGTATTTCGGATAAGGCATGTGGAGATCTGATTGAGATTTGTAGGTAGAGACGTCCGGTTAATAAATACAGTCAGGGGATTTACTGCAGCAGACCTATTATACATGGATGCAGGCACATAGTCTAGTGGTGAAACCACGTGCTTCAGTGATACAGACACGTGGTTTATTGGTGATGACACGTGGTTTACTGGTGATGACACGTGATTTACTGGTGATTGACACGTGAATTACTGTTGATGACACGTGGTTTACTTACGTTGGCATTGAAGGACATCCTGCTGACGGGGATGTCCTCTGGGCCGGCGTACACGTCGAAATGTTTACACCCAGCGTTCGCTCGGACATAGCGGGGATGGTCTCCCTGAAGACCCCACACGAAGTGGGCAGCGTACTGACCAGTCAGGTAGGGATCTTCTCCATACGTTTCCTGGCGATACAGAAACATGACTACGGCATAGCTGACATGTATTTTATAACGTAACTACGGCATAGCTGACATGAATTTTATAACGTAACTACGGCGGCATAACTGACATGTATTTTATAACGTAACTACGGCACACTTAACACGTATTTGGACAGGGACACATGACATCGGTTTAAGTGATATGCATTTGGGCACAATGAGATATGATATGCATTTGGGCACAATGAGATATGACATCGGTTTAAGTGATGTACATTTGGGCACAATGAGATATGAAATCGGTATAAGTGATATGCATTTGGGCGCAATGAGATATGACATCTGTGTAAGTCATATGCATTTTGGCACAATGAGATACGAAATCGGTATAAGTGATATGCATTTGGGCGCAATGAGATATGTCATCGTTATAAGTGATATGCATTTTGGCACAATGAGATACGATATTGGCAAAAGTTACATGCATTTGGGCACAATGAGATATGACATCGGTATGAGTGATATGCATTTGGACCTGGACCCAGGTGTCTTTTGTACAACTGACATCAACTTAAACCTACAGACACAGATGTCTTTTGTACAACTGACATTAACTTAGACAACAGACACTGATATCTTTTGTACAACTGACATTAACTGAGACCTACAGACACAGATGTCTTTTGTACAACTGACATCAACTTAGACCTACTGACACAGATGTCTTTTGTACAATTGACATTAACTTAGACCTACAGACACAGATGTTTTTGTACAACTGACATTAACTTAGACCTACTCGACACAGATGTCTTTTGTACAACTGACATCAACTTAGACCTGACGGACACAGATGTCTTTTGTACAACTGACATTAACTTAGACAACAGACACTGATATCTTTTTGTAAAACTGACATCAACTTAGACCTACCGACACAGATGTCTTTTTGTACAACTGACATCAACTTAGACGCTTACAGACACAGATGTCTTTTTGTACAACTGACATTAACTTAGACAACAGACACTGATATCTTTGTACAACTGACATTAACTTAGACCTACAGACACAGATGTCTTTTGTACAACTGACATCAACTTAGACCTACCGACACAGATTTTTTTGTACAACTAACATCAACTTAGACCTACAGACACAGATGTTTTTGTACAACTGACATTAACTTAGACCTACTGACAAAGATGTCTTTTGTACAACTGACATCAACTTAGACCTCACAGAGACAGATGTCTTTTGTACAACTGACATCAACTTAGACTCTACCGACAAAGATGTCTTTTGCACAACTGACATTAACTTAGACCTACAGACACAGATGTCTTTGCACAACTGACATTAACTTAGACCTACCGACACAGATGTCTTTTGCACAACTGACATTAACTTAGACAACAGACACAGATGTCTTTTGTACAACTGACATCAACTTAGACCTACCGACACAGATGTCTTTTTGTACAACTGACATCAACTTAGACCTACAGACACAGATGTCTTTTGCACAACTGACATTAACTTAGACCTACCGACCCAGATATATTTTGTACAACTGACAGTAGGTGAGAGTAGGTGACGTCCGGTGTACCTTGCCCACCTAACTGAACTCTTTGTACAACACTGACCTATTTAGTGACCAACTGAACGCTTTGTACAACACTGACCTATTTAGTGACCAACTGAACCTTTGTACAACACTGACCTACTTAGTGACCAACTGAACGCTTTGTACAACACTGACCTACTTAGTGACCAACTGAACGCTTTGTACAACACTGACCTACTTAGTGACCAACTGAACGCTTTGTACAACACTGACCTACTCGGTGACCAACTGACTGACCTACTAAGTGACCAATTGAACGCTTTATACAACACTGACCTACTTAGTGACAAACTGAACGCTTTGTACAACACTGACCTACTTAGTGACAAAACTGAACGCTTTATACAACACTGACCTGCTTGGTGACCAACTGAACGCTTTGTACTTTTAGTGACTTTGTAGTGACCAATGAACGCTTTATACAACACTGACCTACTTAGTGACCAACTGAACGCTTTGTACAACACTGACCTACTTAGTGACCAACTGAACGCTTTGTACAACACTGACCTACTTAGTGACCAACTGAACGCTTTGTACAACACTGACCTACTTAGTGACCAACTGAACGCTTTGTACAACACTGACCTACTTAGTGACCAACTGAACGCTTTGTACAACACTGACCTACTTAGTGACCAACTGAACGCTTTGTACAACACTGACCTGCTTGGTGACCAACTGAACGCTTTGTACAACACTGACCTACTTAGTGACCAACTGAAATCTTTCCGTGTAAAATGTATCTACTTAGTGAGCGATCCTTTTATGATTCCTTATATGATTTCATGATAATGTGTGCCTGCTTCACTTGCGATCACTAAACATTCTATATCTCGTCCTAAGGATGTATACAACAAACATGGTGGGTAGGACCATCTATCATTTAAGTACACCTACCTCGTTCCTGCCCCACCTGGGGTCGCGCATGATGTTGATGACGGGGCTGAAGCAGCTGATGCCCTTGTGGGTGCCGTACTGCTTGTTCTTCACGAAGTCATTGTACTTTCCTCGAACTTCTTCACTCGTCGCCTCTGCCACTTTGAACACAACCTCAGGGCTGCAACCCAAGACAACTTGTATGTATTTCAGACTTAATGTGTCCACATATGTGTAAGATACGTGAGATCTCAGATTGTATATTTAGGTGTGGTCTATCCAACTGGCAAATGCGTTCCTCCATCCATACCCGCATAAAGCCATACATACCAGCCTCGGTTATCTTGTGGCATATCCATTCACACAAAGAATCTGTTAACTTCACAAAGTTGATAACAGTGACAAAGATCAATTGTCCACTGGTTTGTGTCTTGGAAGAGGCAAAAATAACCAATATTGCAATATAAACCAAACGATCATCCAATCAATCTACATCACAACCCATATCCGACTACTCACTCCCAGGCGGCCGCTAAACCCAGAGACTGAGGGAAGGAAGTAGCATTCCCTGCCTCAACGTCTCCCCTCAGACACTCCGTGTTCCAGGAGTAGGGTCCTATGCCAAGTCTAGCTATGGGAGGGGTGGGGCCATTGCCCGGACTAGTGCCTCCTTTCGTCATCTGGTACATGATCTCCTCGACGGTGAGGCGACCAACAAGGTCCTCCACACGCTCGTCCCAGGACAGACTGGTGTTTCTGAAGGGGAAGTCGCCATGACAGGCGGTCAATACATATACCAAGACGAGGAGGGGACGCAGGTCTGTCATGGTCAGAAGTGTCTCAGGTGTGCGTATTCTAAACTAATATACATGCTTATATACGAGTCAGCACGTGGGAAAGGCGTGCTGAGCCGAAAGCTAACAGTTGTGGTTTCAAGGACACTTGCTGACCTACAAACCGCCTTCAGAACACATTCTGAAAATACCGAACAGATTGCGAGATAACAAACAAGTACAAGTGTAGAGAGCAGTGGCCTTGTGTAGTATGACTATGACTTGTGTACTATCACAAGTGTGATGTGATGAGTGTTTAGCCACGGTCTCGTGTGTTGCTGACATCAGGCCTTCTGGGGGTGATATGGCATGTCGTGCTGCTGACATCAGGCCTTCTGGGGGTGATATGGCGTGTCGTGCTGCTGACATCAGGCCTTCTGGGGGTGATATGGCATGTCGTGTTGCTGACATCAGGCCTTCTGGGGGTGATATGGCATGTCGTGTTGCTGACATCAGGCTTCTAGGGTGATATGGCATGTCGTGCTGCTGACATCAGGCCTTCTGGGTGTGATATGGCATGTCATGTTGCTGACATCAGGCTTTCTGGGGATGATATGGCATGTCGTGTTGCTGACATCAGGCCTTCTGGGGGTGATATGGCATGTCATGTTGCTGACATCAGGCTTTCTGGGGTAATATGGCATGTCGTGCTGCTGACATCAGGCCTTCTGGGGTGATATGGCATGTCGTGCTGCTGACATCAGGCCTTCTGGGGGTGATATGGCATATCGTGCTGCTGACATCAGGCCTTCTGGGGTGATATGGCGTGTCGTGTTGCTGACATCAGGCCTTCTGGGGTGATATGGCATGTCGTGTTGCTGACATCAGGCCTTCTGGGGGTGATATGGCATGTCGTGTTGCTGACATCAGGCCTTCTGGGGGTGATATGGCATGTCGTGTTGCTGACATCAGGCCTTCTGGGGGTGATATGGCATGTCGTGTTGCTGACATCAGGCCTTCTGGGGGTGATATGGCATGTCGTGTTGCTGACATCAGGCCTTCTGGGGGTGATATGGCATGTCGTGCTGCTGACATCAGGCCTTCTGGGGTGATATGGCATGTCGTGCTGCTGACATCAGGCCTTCTGGGGTGATATGGCATGTCGTGCTGCTGACATCAGGCCTTCTGGGGGTGATATGGCATGTCGTGCTGCTGACATCAGGCCTTCTGGGGGTGATATGGCATGTCGTGCTGTTGACATCAGGCCTTCTGGGGGTGATATGGCATGTCGTTTTGCTGACATCAGGCCTTCTGGGGTGATATGGCATGTCGTGCTGCTGACATCAGGCCTTCTGGGGTGATATGGCATGTCGTGCTGCTGACATCAGGCCTTCTGGGGTGATATGGCATGTCGTGTTGCTGACATATGGCAAATACTTAACACTCATTCTCAATAACGGGGAACAAATGCTGTCACCGCCATGCTTCCCTTAAACTTATTTAGCAAATGTTATTGCACATCACTATCGTCGGATAATGGTACCAACATGGCCAACATCCAACAGTCCAATAACCCCAAATGTATATTTGTTACAGCTAAGGTAATCGGTCAATTTAATTACCTTACTTTGCATCTTAACGTCATGCAGTTTGGTATACAAATACCTGGATGTGAGTACATTAGGAAATTGATATTGGTCAAAGGTCTCATTTTCTGCCAGTTGTTAAGTCAATGCATTCTTTTTAGATAAACGAATTTGGTCTCATGCCATGTCGCCAGTTTTGAGGAAATATCCGTGACTAATTTTCAGCTTGACATGTACATGTGTAGAAAACGAAGCATAATCTTACTCATTCACTTTGAATGAATACACTTTGTGTTTACATTAATGGTATTTGCCATTATTTGGAGCTAAGAATATTTCACTGCATAACACATCTCAGTACATACAAAATATTCCATGCGTAGAAATAGGAGTAAAATGAACGTTTCCACTTCTAAAGTAGGGAATTGTGCTCGTTTTCAAATAGTTTAAGTTACATTTATGATATGCTAACATGCTTATGATATATACGATGGCAACACAACAAGTATTGCAGATACACATGCACCAGAGGAACGTTGTACAATTACAGTTCATGCAGAGGCTCACTGAAATCCGTCAAGCAAAACGCAGGCGATGCTGCCTTGAGAAGCAGATGCGGTCCTGTGGCCTTTCTATTCATGAGGACCGACATCGCACCCAGAGAAATCATGTCAGTGCACTGGCGGAGACCACAAAACGTGGCTACTTTAAGGACATGCTGCACAATGTCAAGGGAGAAAAAAGAGAGGTTTAAGCTGTCACCAATAAGCTCCTGTTCAGACAGAACAAGACACTGTTACCATTCTCTGTTTCCGGGGCTGCACTATCCACCTTTTTCTCTGACTACTTCATTGATAAGATTATCAATATACCATAAACTTTGTCGAATCAAAATGCATTTTATCACGATTGTAGTCCACTACAAATCGTCAATGACAGTAAATGTAGTTTGAATTCTTTTCGTCCCACCATCGAACAAGAAGTGCAAAGATTCATACAGCAGTCTCCCTACAAATCCTGTCAACTTAACGTGATGCCAACATGGCTCCTGAAGAACTGTATGCATGATGTGACTCCAAGGAGCTTGCCTGTGGAGTTCCGCAAGGATCTGTTTTAGGCCCCCTGTTATTCACAGTTTACACCTGCCCGTAGACATAGCCAGTTACAGTCTTTCCTTCCACCTTTACGCTGATGACACACAGTTGTATCTGTCCTTCAGTCAACTTGTCGCCTGTCATCCACTAGCGCATTTGCGCAAATTGTCAGCTACTAACGGGCAATCAAGCATTGATAACAACTCTAACGCGTACAGAATTTTGCTGCTAGACTTGTCTCCAGATCACAGAAATTCTTTCACATAACTCCTGTTTGGCAGAGATTACACTGGCTTCCCTTATCAGACAGAATCCAACACAAACTCAACATTGTTTTTTCAAGTGTCTCAATAACCCAGCTCCAAAGTATCTACCTGACCTGGTCACCAGATATCAGCACAACCGAAGTCTCCGATCTGAACATCTTAGTCTCCGTGTACCAGGTTTGGGGATCGATCATTTCAGGTGGCAGGACCCATTCTCTGGAATCAACTTCCACTTGAGTTAAGGACAATTAACAACCTGAAGATTTTCAAATCTAAACTGAAGACATACCTTTTTAAGAAAACATACAGTTTCTAACTTTACATTCTCGAGTTGTTCGGAGACCGCTCCTGAGAAGTACTGTTGAACTGGAACTGGCGACATGTTTTTAAAATGATGATGATTTAGAACATGAAGTATGCCAGATCGGAAAAGAAAAACAAATATTCAAAGCTTATGTGTGGTTAATGGTAACTTACTGCTTGATTTGCCAGATTATGTAATCTCCGTTACTGTAATGTTCGTTACCAGGGTATTCGAAACTACATCGCTTGTGAAGCTCTGATACTGAAATGTTCGTTACCAGGCTATTCGAAACTACATCGCTTGTGAAGCTCTGATACTGAAATGTTCGTTACCAGGCTATTCGAAACTACATCGCTTGTGAAGCTCTGATACTGAAATGTTCGTTACCAGGCTATTCGAAACTACATGGCTTGTGAAGCTCTGATACTGAAATGTTCGTTACCAGGCTATTCGAAACTACATCGCTTGTGAAGCTCTGATACTGAAATGTTCGTTACCAGGCTATTCGAAACTACATCGCTTGTGAAGCTCTGATACTGAAATGTTCGTTACCAGGCTATTCGAAACTACATCGCTTGTGAAGCTCTGATACTGAAATGTTCGTTACCAGGCTATTCGAAACTACATGGCTTGTGAAGCTCTGATACTGAAATGTTCGTTACCAGGCTATTCGAAACTACATCGCTTGTGAGCTCTGATACTGAAATGTTCGTTACCAGGCTATTCGAAACTACATCGCTTGTGAAGCTCTGATACTGAAATGTTCGTTACCAGGGTATTCGAAACTACATCGCTTGTGAGCTCTGATGCTGAAATGTTCGTTACCAGGCTATTCGAAACTACATGGCTTGTGAAGCTCTGATACTGAAATGTTCGTTACCAGGGCTATTCGAAACTACATGGCTTGTGAAGCTCTGATACTGAAATGTTCGTTACCAGGCTATTCGAAAGCTACATGGCTTGTGAAGCTCTGATACTGAAATGTTCGTTACCAGGCTATTCGAAACTACATCGCTTGTGAAGCTCTGATGCTGAAATGTTCGTTACCAGGCTATTCGAAACTACATGGCTTGTGAAGCTCTGATACTGAAATGTTCGTTACCAGGGCTATTCGAAACTACATCGCTTGTGAAGCTCTGATACTGAAATGTTCGTTACCAGGCTATTCGAAACTACATGGCTTGTGAGCTCTGATACTGAAAATGTTCGTTACCAGGGCTATTCGAAACTACATCGCTTGTGAAGCTCTGATACTGAAATGTTCGTTACCAGGCTATTCGAAACTACATAGCTTGTGAAGCTCTGATACTGAAATGTTCGTTACCAGGCTATTCGAAACTACATCGCTTGTGAAGCTCTGATACTGAAATGTTCGTTACCAGGCTATTCGAAACTACATCGCTTGTGAAGCTCTGATACTGAAATGTTCGTTACCAGGGTATTCGAAACTACATCGCTTGTGAAGCTCTGATACTGAAATGTTCGTTACCAGGGTATTCGAAACTACATCGCTTGTGAAGCTCTGATACTGAAATGTTCGTTACCAGGGTATTCGAAACTACATCGCTTGTGAAGCTCTGATACTGAAATGTTCGTTACCAGGGTATTCGAAACTACATCGCTTGTGAAGCTCTGATACTGAAATGTTCGTTACCAGGCTATTCGAAACTACATCGCTTGTGAAGCTCTGATACTGAAATGTTCGTTACCAGGCTATTCGAAACTACATAGCTTGTGAAGCTCTGATACTGAAATGTTCGTTACCAGGCTATTCGAAACTACATCGCTTGTGAAGCTCTGATAC